TCCCCCTCGCCCCTCCTCCCACCCCGTCCTCCTCCCCCACCCCACCACACACACACCGTGTTCCCCCCTCCCTGTGTCCCTCCCCCTGCCCCACACACACCCAATGTCCCCCCTCACCCCAGCCCCCCTCACACTCCATGTCCCCCCCTGCCCCTTGTCACGAAGTGGGGGATTTTCTTTTTTTTTTCCAATGGTTTGCATGCCGAGGGGGTGAGACTCAGTGTCCCTGGTTTAACGAGGGGAGGGGAGAGGGAGTTCGTTGGGACAGACCCGGAGAAGGAACTTGGGACCCCGGCCGACGGCCTGGAGAACGGAGACCCCAGCGACTGGTGACCCGGAGTCACAGCCGGCTCTGGCCAGTGGGGGGACAATGGGCTGCGGGGAGAGGACCCCGGTGACCGGACCAGCCGGTTCCAGCCCGAGGGGCCAGAGGACAGAAGAGGGGAGAGGGGCCCAGGCGACCCTGTTTCCCTGGCTTGGGGCCGGTGGCATCCGATGCCCAGCTGGGGAGCAGGGGGGTCGGAGCTGGAGAGGGGGGGCTCGGGGTGGCCACACCCAGTTCCTGGGCACTTCACCCCACGGGCGCAGGTGGCCGACGCCCCCACAGTGGTCGGGCAAGTCCCGCTGGGCGCTTGGCAGCCGCTGCGTTGGGAACCAGGCTGCCCTGGCCGTAGGGTACCGTGTCCTGCCCCCCACCCAACTGGCACGGCCCAGCCCCCGCGGTGGGGCAGTAACGATCGGGTGACCCCGAGTCGCAGGAGGGGCCCAGGCAGAGCGGGGGGCTGGTAGGAGTGGCAGCCCCCCCCATGGATACTCAGCCCCACTGGGAGTGCGTGAAAGTCTCCGGGGGGCTCGGCCGGGGACCCCCTGGGCAGCACCTGGGGCAGGGGCCAGTGGGGCAGAGACGGGGCCCAAGCGGAGGGGGGTGGAGGGGGCTTGAGGACCCACCGGGTAGTCCTGGGGCGGGGGTTGCTAATAGGCAAATATTCATATATGCAAATAAATTGCAAATAAGCCAACTGTTAATCGGGCTGCATTAATTATACATGCAAATGAGGCGAAGCCAGGCAGTGGCACTAGCAGTTTAAAAAGTGTAGTTGCCACTATGCAAATGAGGCCGATTAACTACATGCAAATTAGCTGCAGTGATACAGTTTGGCGGGACACTTGCTGCAAATATGCAAATTCCAGGGCGCTCTGCAAACCAGCTCAGCAATGCAACCAAATATGCATATTACTTAGATATGCAAATTAGAAGCGCTATACAATTATATGCAAATTAGATATATGCAAATGAAATATGCGCGTCAGTGACAATTGTACATATTGCCTGTCTGTCACGTGGCACCACCACTCTGTTCAATCAGCGTGGAGATATTTACATATCAGGGAGGTGGGCGGGGCGTATAGGACGGGCCAGAGGGACCTCGATGGACACGCCTCGTCCTCAATACGCATGCTCAGCAACCGTAGGCCCGCCTGCTAGGTCTCTAAAATGGCGGCGGCGTGGGAACAGTGCGCGTGCGCGCCGACACGCGCGGGGAGGGCTGGTGTCCGCGATGCGCATGCGCCTCCCTCTCTACGCCGGAAGCCACGGCTAGAGCGGAGCCGCGGGCTGCGGAAGAAGGCGCATGCGCTGGAGGGCGAGCGCCCGCTGCCATTGGCCGGCGCCGCCGCTCTACGCCGGAAGCGGGGCTAGAGCGGCGGTCGGGGCCGGGGTACAAAAACCGCGCGCAGGCGCAACTCCCCTCTCTTTGCCGCACGGCGAGGTGAGCGCGCGGCCGGGCCGGGAGCTGCGGGAGGGACCCGCGGGTGGGACCCACGTTCCCCCCCCCCGGCCC